CGGGGTTCCCCCCACCTCCCAACCCCGGGTCTGGACGAAGTTGGAGAGGGATTGCGTGGGGTTCCTGCACAGAATCAAGGAAAAAAAACTCCATTAATCTGTCAGTAGGATCGAAGAGGACAGACTCAGGCGGATCCCGTTCCCCATACCAAGCCTAAAGAGCTAACACAGTGTCGCAGTGGTCCTGGCGGCTCTAGGGAATAAGTGGCAGGCCCTCCAGGCTCTCGCTAGGTGGCAGTATTACAAAGGACAAACCTAGCTGAGATTCCAGAAATCGAACTGGTAGCTCCTCTTTCAAGGGCAGGTGTCAGGCTGTGGTAGGGCCTGATGGATTCGGCAAGGTTAACTTGGAGCTTGAGCCACTGGCCATACCATCCTCTTTCATCTAGACTGTAATGATAAGCCCTTGTTGGAAGCTAACTGTGTACTTTGGCTCCCTTGCTGAGATACTCATCCATTCCATGGCATTTGTGGAAGGCCTTCCTTGGCCGTTTGATATTAAGGAGAGTGCGTGCCCATGGTCCCCTTGGGAACTGTTTATCTTGTCTGGGTGGCATAACATTTAGCTCCGTGTCACTTTTGGGTGTACAAGGTGATAGCATAAAAGGCTATGGTAAGAATTCCCACTGAGCATTTCCTGAGCCAGGGTATTTCCCAAATAGTTCTAAACTCCCAACAATATTTCAAGATAAGTATGTGTATCCTTGTTTTACAAGTGCTTGTTAGGGTATAGATCTAGCATGTCCTCCAAAGGGCTTGTGCTTAGAGGCGGGGCTTTAAAAAGGTGATTGGCTCCCAGGGGTGCTGTGCTCATTCGTGGAATAACCCAGAGATGAGTTCACAGCTAAGGGTACTGGTGGAGGTTGAGCCTGGTGGGAAAGGGGGTGGGGTCGCTGGTAGCATGACCTGGAAGAGTCTGTCTCCCTCCAAATCTTCCTCTCTCCTGTCTCTCTCTGTCCACTGCACCTGGGGGGCAGGGGGGATGATGCAGACAACTTTCCTCTCCAGACCCTTTCACTGTCTTGAAACCAGCTGACTGCACACTGAATCCTCTAAAAACCATGAGCCAGAATACATCTCTCCTTTTAAGTTGTGGGTGTCAGATGTTGTGTCTCAGGGATAAAAAAATAAGACAAATATTGGTACCAGGAGTTGTCATGACTATACTTGGCCATGTGGTTCAGAGGCCTTTGGAAATGGCTTGTGGGGGAATGTGGAAAGGTTTGGAGATGATGGCTAGAGAAGCTCTAGCATGCTGTAAGCTGAGCTTGATGGGAGATTTTGGTCAGAGCTTAGAAGACCAAAGTGTGACTAGAAAAGATGATAAAGGCCAGGGTTAGGAGGTTTCAGTTGGTAACAGGACTCCGTTGGCAGTTAGACTCAAGACCATGTGTATTATACTCTGGCAGAATATTTGTCTATATTTTGTTCATGTCCTGAAACTTTGTGGAAAACAAGGGCAGCAGACTAATCTGGTAGAGGAAATTTCAAGGTAGCCCAGTGTTAGGGCTAGGGCTGAGAACTGCTGGTGGATTTTACCCATATCTACAGTGGAAAGCAGGACCAAAACACAGAGCTGAGTAATTTGAAAAATATTACTAGTGGCCAGAATGCAAGCTTTGCTCAAGTTGGGTCCTGTAGAGTTTTTCTGAGGAGAGCTTGGTTGCTGAGAATATTAGCTAGGATAATGAATGTCCTTGAGGGCAGCAGCAAGACCTTACCCTTCACAGGATGCAAAAGTGAAAGACCTTGCTTTGAGAAGAGAGCCCCAGGGCATCCTGCTTGAGGAGAGCCATCTAGAGAATGCATTCCCCAGGATTCAGTTCACAGTGCTCAGCCATCCAGGAGCTCATAGGCCTCTGCAGCCATGATCCAAGGGGGCCCTAGCTGCTGCTCCAGCTGGTGGCAGACCTTAATGTCATCCACATGGCACTGGTTTTATGGGCATGCAGAGTGCAGGAGTTGTGCAGTCAGGGCTTCCACTCAGATTTCAGAAGAAGGCCTGGGAGGTAGGCAGTGTGCCCCTGAGAAGGCAGTGTGTGAAGCTGTGCATGTAAAGCTGAAAGTACAGTGGAGACCCCAGGAAATCAGAGAAGCCAGGAACATGGATTGTCTGAGGAAAGCTGCAAGGAGTGAGTAAAGCCAGCCCAAGGGAGATGCCATGAGGGCTGCAACCAGCAAAGCCATAAGGGCAGGACTGCCCAAGCCATTTGGAATTTACATCTTACCCTGGTTGCTGGGCCTGGAGCTACAGGATTTAGTGTTTTTCCTGCTGGGTTTTGGTCTTGCTGTGGTTCTATTCCTTTCTATCCCCCTATACCTCCCTTTTAGAGTGGGAATGTTTACCCTGTGGTATAGTATGTTAGATGTGTTTAGCTTTCTTTTTGATTTTTACAGGGCCTCACAGCTAAGAGTTTGCCTTGAGTTTCAGAGGAGACTTTAGGCTTGGATTTTTCAGTTTTTTAAACTGTTAAGACTTTGGCTACTCTTAGGGATAGGCTAAATGTGTATCAGTGTTTTGGGGGCCAGGGGCAGAATGCTATGGTTTGGATCAAGAATGTAAAAAAAAAAAAAAAAAAAAAGAATGTCTCCTGAAGGCCTCACATACTCATGGGGGCCTTTTAGTAGGTGGTTGAATCATGAGGGTGCTATAGGTGGCTTGCTGTGAGGAGGTGGGTCTGGTCAGAAGAGGTGGTCACTGAGGGTGTGGCCTGGAAAGGTATAGCGCCCCCAGCCTCCTCCCTTCTCTCTCTGCTCCTGGCCACCATGACATGAGCATCTTCCACCCAGGCCCTTCCACCATGCCATTTCTATGTTTAAACCTGCTGAAATGGGCTGAAACTTCTAAAACTGCAAGCCAGAATCACCCTCTCCTTCTTCTCATTGCAGGTGTCAGGTGTTTGTCCCAGCAACAAGGAAAGTGAGTGAGTCACTATACTGATAGTAAGCAGAGTTCCAGGGTCTATCTCCCAGTCCGTGCCCTCGTGCCCCTCCACCTCCCTCTTGTTCTCCTCAAGAGCTTTTCACGCATCACTTGACTCCAGCCCTTACCCAGAAATCCGGAAGATCCTGCGTCCTGTAACTTATAAACCATTTAATTAGAAGAAAACAGCAGGGTGAGCTAACCCCACAACATTGCATAGGCTCTCCATGCAGCCCACCTAGGACACCCAAAAGCTGTGATCACTGGAATGAGGTTTGTCTTCTCCCTCTGGTCTGCCCAACACCTCGGCTCTAGCTGGGAGAGCCCTTTGGCCCCCAGAGCTGTGTGAGTCACATCTGAAATGCCTAGACATCAGTGTGGTGTCCAACTGGGCCGGAGAGGGTAGAGATGGGAATGGAGTGGTGATATACTCACTCAATGAATGCTTGGGTGCTAAGGAAACAGCAGTGCCTAAAACAAAAATCCCTGCCTTCATGAGGCTTCCATTCTATTGGGGGAAATGAACGTGATAAATGTGGACTCTGCAAATCTCACTGACTGACTAACTATGAGAGGAAGGGAACAAATTTTACTGAGCACCTACTCTATGAGAGGCACTGGGGGTAGCCTGAAATGGCACGGTCCCAGTCCTGGAATGTTCTGTGCTCAGCCTGGAAGAAAGCCAGGCATTCTGTGGATTGTTGCACACTGCATTCCTTAACTGAAGTTGCAGTAAGTGCCCTAAAGGAGAGCAAGACCAGGACCTGGGAGCTGTTCCCGAACAGGGACTCGCCGCACTCAAGTGGGAAGAGGGGGGTGGACATTCTGGGCAGGGGTGGCATACCCGACACTTTTTTTTTTTCTTTTTGGTACCAGGGATCGAACTCGGGTCCTTGCACTTGCGCAGCAGGCAGTGAAACCACTGAGCTCAATCCCCGGCTCCCCGACACTTTTGAGATAGGACCATGGCAAGTTGGAGGGATGGAAAGAAATCTTCTCTCTAGAGTAAGGGAAGCCGGGTGTGGTGGTGCACGCCTGTAATCCCAGCACTTGGGAGGCCGAGGCAGGAGGACTGCCACAAGTTCAAGGCCAGCCTGGGCTACATAGTGAATTCAGGGTCAGCCTGAATTGTAAAGCAAGACCCTGTCTCAAAAACAAAACAAAACTCTTAGAGTAAGGGAGCGAGTGAGATAGGTAAGGTAGGCACAGCTGGGCCTTGGCAGGTATTCAACGCCATGTTTGGGAATTTGCACTTATTTTACAATCAAGGAAGATAAAATACATTACCAGTTGTGGGAAGGTTTAAAAAACTGGAAGAGTGTAGCAGCAGGCTGGGGAGAGCAGAGCTGTGGGGTGGAGCGGTTAGGAGGCCATGGGGGGGTGGGGTGGGGGTGGCACCAGCTGTCGCGTCTGTGGCCTCTGAGCTCAGGACGGGCAGGCAAGGGGTTCACCCCAGAGGCCGGCGCAGCCCCTGAGTTGGACTGGGAAGGGCAGCGCCGATGAGACAATCAGGAGGAGTGGGACTGGGGAGTCAGCCCAGAGTGGGCCTGGACTCGAGCTCTGCTGCTCTGCTTCTGTTTTGCTAGAGGTGTGACCTTGGCAGAGTGCCTGCCCTCTGAGAGCTCAGAGCCTTATCTGCCGGTGAGGGTGAGATGCTGCCTGCAGCAGGGTCAGCGCCGTTCAGATGAGCTGCGTGAGCATTACCAGTGATGGGCTTAGCCCGCAGCACAGCAAGTGCTAAACTTTCTCTCCATCCACTTACTGCTCCCACCCAGAAGCCACCTGGTGAACGTGAGGAGCTCTCCAGGTGTCCCACACTGGTCTCAGTGTGGACATAGAGCAACCGAGGAGACAGGCCAGGGCAGCTCTCGTGGCACTGCCATCGTAGTTTGAGGTGTGCACAAAAAACAAACGTGCAAGCAGCAGGAATATCAGGCTCAAAGTCAGTGTCAGGAACTAAGGTGGGGTCCCTGCAGAGAGTGCCGGTTGCTGTAAGTCCAGTGGTCAGGGAGGGTCTCCCTACGGAGGCAGGGTGGAGCTGAGCTCTGTTGAAGAAGCAGGACTGAGAGAACCGGAAATGACCCAAGGTGGAGTTCCAGAGTTGGAAGCCAAGAGTGCACGGGCTGAGCACACGGGCTGTGAGCCTCAGCTCTGCCAGCTTCTTGTGACACACCCGGGCAGGGCACACACCTGTCTGTGCCCGGTGTCCACGCCTGCAAGGCACCCATCGAGGTAGAGCTCACTCAGCAGGTCACTGGTGGGGTTTCAGGAGAACCCCGTGAAGTGCATGAAGCCTCGTACCTGAATGCTGAGGAAAGAGGACGTGCAGCTTGAGTCTAGTGACAGCAAAGGAGAAAGGACAGGAGACAGCCAGGGAGAAGCAGAGCTGTATTACGGAGACCACAGACACTGATGGGTTCTATTCAAAGTGTGGTGAGAAACCACTGGAGGATTTGAAACAGGAAATAGCATGATCAGATGTAACATTTCACAGACCACTCCGCTGTTGTGTGGAAAGTGGATTGCAGGGATTTGCTCTTGCCCTAAAGGTCATGTGAGAGCAGTGTGAGCAGACTCGGCCCAGAGGTACAGTGCTCTGACACTGGCTCCATGGGTGTGTCCGGGGCACCTGCTCTTTGCCAGGAGCTGCAGTGGATGCTGGGGATGCGGGAACAGAGGGGATACAGGCCCTGGGGGAGGCTCCTGTGATCTGCGACACAGAAGAGGAACGCCTTGCATGACAGCTGTGACTTGGTTTACCTTCGAGCTGTAGTTCCTGCTCCTGCCTCAGGAATGCAGGGAGATGGATGAACTGGAGCCAAATATAATTGACTATGGTACAATGTGACAGAGCAAATAATGGGGATCAGCCTGGTGGACAGAGTTAGATCCTGTCTCAAAGAAACAAAAAATTTGTCATCAAAGAATACTTACGGGTATGGAGATGTCTGAGAAACCATAAAGGAAAAAGGAAGGTTACAAAGTTCTGTCACAATATACTCGCTTAAAAATAACAAGAATGGGGCCAGTGATTTAGCTCAGTGGTTTCGCTGCGTGCTCCACAAGCGCAAGGACCTGAGTTTGATCCCCAGTACCACAAAAAAACAAGAATGTATGTGATTCAGTTACATACCCAACAGAAATGTCTATATTCATATACCAAAAATGCTGGGGGTGGTGGCACATGTCTGTAATCCCAGCACTTATGAAGCTGAGGCAGGAGGATCTTGAGTTTACGGTCAGCCTGGACTATGTAGCAAGACCCTGTCTCAAAAAATAAAAGAAAAAGAAAGGAAAGAGAGAGAGGAGAGAGAGAGAGAGAGGGATTCGTCCTTACTGTAAGGGGCACTGCGAGAGTGCCAAATAGTACTGTTTTGCCTCAGAACTGGTGCCTTTCTGTCTGTCCTCACCCAGTGGTCCTGGCCTGTCCCCTTCCCACCGCCTTTCAGGAGGAGCGCGAGGGAAGCGGCACGGTTCTCCTTTTCGCTGGGTGGCTGTGCTGAAGGACTTGGTTCTTCGAAGGTTGGAAGGAAACCTGAAGTAAAAGCTGGGAACCCTGAGAAGAGAGGGTGGAGGTCAAGGTGAACAGGGGCTTGGAGGGGCGTGAAGGGGCATAGGGAGCCCGAGCAAGCAAACCTCCCTTCCTGTCACACCCATCAAGCCGGGCACAGGCAGCTCCTGCAGAGGTTTCCTGGGAGACCTCCCAGCCCCACTGCACATCCACCGAAGCCCCCGTCCCTGGACCGTGTTTGAACCTTCCTTGCCTACAGCTTTCTGCTCTTTCAAATCTGTTTTGTCTCTGGCCCCTCTGACTCCCCTGTGCCCCACCTGCATTTCTGCCCTGGCAGCCACCACGCTGTGGAATAACGGCTGCCACTGTGACCCCAATAGCTGGGCCTAAACCCTTTGGTCCCCACCCTCAGGTCCTGCACAGGTCCTGCCAGACAGCAGGTACTCAAAGTGTTGAAGGTGAATCTCCTCACTCACACCCTCTTTCCAAGTGTGGAGGCTGCACACACACATTCCTTGCCTTTTGTCGGGGCTTTTATTCTCTGCTGCTTTCCCTGGCACCCAGATCTCTCTCCTAAGAGATCACCACGTGTTTAGGCACGAACGCCCTTCCACTGGGGGTGCAGGGTTAGGCCTGCTCCCATGTGCACCATGGGGCCAGGTTGTTCTGTTCTCCAGTCTTTTTCTGGACTCCAGTCCCTTTCCAAAACCTAGGGACATGTTAAGTAAGTTGCTTCTAGTTGAGCTCTTAGGACTTTCCCTACACGTTACACGATACCCCTCTCTGCCTCTTTAGGCCTTACAGGATGCCAGGGGGGACGGGGCTGGCTCATGGCCCAGCTGGAGAGGCAGCCACCACGGTAGGTCTCACTGGACAGGCCCCTGACTTTACCTCTGGTCAGGTACAGCTTCTGTGAGGAACTAAAACTTCTGCCAAATACTCAAATTTAACTAGAAGGTAGTTGTGGAGGATGGGTGATAGAAAAGCCAAAGAGAACCCCGTGTTTAAAAGAAACGGGGGGACCGGGGATTTAGCTCAGTGGTTCCACCGCCTGCCTTGCAAGCGCAAGGTCCCAAGTTCGATCCCCGGTACCAAAAAAAAAGAAACAAGGGCTATAGGGACCCAATGTTCAAGGACTCTGAAGACGTGGAGCGGAGGGCAGGGCTGCGATGACAGCGCAGGAGCGGACCTGGGGGACGAGCGGCTTCGCCGTGTGTCCGGATCTCTAGGCGGAAAGCGACAAATCCACCTAAGGAAGAAAGAGGCCTTCACTGGCTCAGCACTTCAGGACTTTCAAGAGCAAAGATGCCACTGAGCTTGACACCGCTCAGCGCTGCGGCCTTCGTGCGGGCGTCTCTTTCTGTGAAGCGGCCCCATACCGTCACGCGGGACAGCGGGGACGCGCGTGCGGGCGAGGGGCCTCCCGCCGCCCGCCCCCGGTTGCTCCCCGAGTCGGCCCTCCTCGCCCGGAAGCGCTCGGGGCGGGGCCTGGCCTCTCCGGGAGACTCTGGAGGCGGAGTTGGGCGGCGGGGCTCCCTCCCCAGACTGCAGAGCTGTTTCTTTTCTTAAAACAACCACCCACCCGCCCTTTTCTAACGGCCTGAAAAGCACCTTCTCTGCTGCACCCTCTGTCCAGGGAGCGAACGAGCGGGAGGCTCAGACGCGGCCCGCCCCGCCCCTTTTCAGGCCTCGGCTCCTCAGGCTCCGCCCCCGCCTCGCCCCGCCCCGCCCCTCCGGCCTTGAGCCCGGGGAAGGAGACCCCGCTCCGGCCGGAGACTCCGCCCCCCGCCGCAGCCGGCCCTGGAAGAGCAGCGGGAGGGCCTCCGCCTGCTCGGACCGGACAGGACCGGACGGGGTGCGAGAAGCGGGCTTCTCCCCCGCCGACTGCCGACTGCCTGCGCCCCGGGGCGAGCCGCGAGCACCCGGCCCGGCGCCGGTTCAGCACCACGGACAGCGTCGCCGGCCCGTGGGCGGCCCCATGGCGCTGCTCCTCGGCCTGGGCCTCCTGCGGCTGCTCGCGGGTAAGGACGCCCCGGCCCGCCGCCTCGCTCGGGCCGCCCGTCCGCTGGGAGCCCGGAACCGGGCCGAAGGCCGGCCGGGAAGGGGTGGCGCGGGCGGGGGTGCAGGCTGCGGGCACCGGGACTTCCGCCCCACAGCTGCCTGCCTGCCGCCGGCTGTCTCGGTGACGTGCAGTCGCCAGCAACAGCTCTGGCTGAGCCTGCCGGCTCCCCCGGGACAAGGCGGGCAGGGGGACTCCGTCCTTTGTCCGCAAGACGGGAGCTCGAGGGGAGAACCCAGGCTGGGCCGGGAGAGCGCGTGCAGACCGCGAGAGGACCGCACCGGAGCTGCGGGCGCTTTCCAAGCCTGCACGCCGTGCGCACGGAGCTCGGGGCGAGACAGCCACCCCGGCGGTGCCTCCCACGAGTAAACAGCGGGTATCTGACGGGGAAGCCAGGGCAGTAGACCCGCGGGCCCCGAAGGCGAGCGTTCTCCACTGGCCCGTGAGCGGCCTCGCCCCTCCCCGAGGGCCCTGTCGGAGCCTCTGTCAGGGCCTCTGCGGGCCTCCGTGGGCAGCCCGAGCCCAGCGTCTCGGGGACAGAGCAGGCGGAGCTGGGGAGGCCGGCTCCTTGGCGAGCCCGCTGCTCACCCCGGCCCCGCCCGGCCTAGGGGTGTGGGGCACAGACACGGAGGAGAGGCTGGTGGAACACCTCCTGGACCCCACTCGCTACAACAAGCTCATCCGCCCGGCCACCAACGGCTCTGAGCTGGTGACGGTGCAGCTCATGGTGTCACTGGCCCAGCTCATCAGCGTGGTGAGTGGGGCCCGCGCAGGACGCGGCGGGGTGCGTCTACCCGCTGGGCACCCGTGGGGTGAGCGTGGGTGGCGGCAGTGGGGAGGCGGCGCCTCAGAGGCCTCTTTCCCCCCAGCACGAGCGGGAGCAGATCATGACCACCAACGTCTGGCTGACCCAGGTAGTGCCCTTCCCGCCGCACCCGGCCTTCTCTTTCCTTCCCCTTTTATTTCTTTGTTTATGTGCTTTCCCTGCCAGTTTCCTTAGAAAAAAGGCAGGAAAGGTATAGTTTTTAGAGTCCTAAATACTTGGGTTTAAAGCTTGGTTCAGTTACTCCTTAGCTGTTATTTTTATTCATTTATTTATTTTTTGGTACTGGGAATCGAACTCAGGACCTCGTGCTTGCCAGGCAGGCACTGAGCTACATCCCTGGCCCGGCTCTGTTTAAACATAATAAACGTCCCCAGGTCCATTTTCTCACCTGTAAAATGTAGATCATAACACTTTGGCTCAGTTGTGGAAATTAAATGAGAAAGAATCATATGAGCCATACTTCATGGGCGAAAAACTCAACGCAGGGGAGGAGGCTGGCTTTTAAAAACTTCCTCCAGGGATGGGGATGTAGAGCTATGGTGCCTCGCCTGCCTGGCAAGCGCTAGGTCCTGCTGCCTCCCTTTCTTCCCCTCCCAGGAGTGGGAGGATTATCGGCTCACCTGGAAGCCCGAGGAGTTTGACAACATGAAGAAAGTTCGACTCCCTTCCAAGCACATCTGGCTCCCAGATGTGGTCCTGTACAACAAGTAGGTGGCCCTGGGGCAATGGGAAGGTTGTGAGGCACGCAGGGCCACTCAGGGAGGGAGGGAGGGAGGGAGGGAGCCTGGGCAAATGAGACACAGCTTCCGCTGTGAGAGGGGCTTTTCCAGGCAGATGGGGACCCGGACCACGCTGACTCGGGCCATGACTTGGAGCCCTGGTGGGGATATGAGATCCACACCCCTCAGGGCCTGAACTGGTTAAAAATAGGCTTTCCCGGAAGCCTGGGCAGGATCGAAGGACCCTAAAGTCCTAGTTTCTCCCCCAGGTTCTAGCTTGTCTCCTGCAATAATCCCTCCAGCGGATCCCACGGATAATGGGACGTTGTCCTACTCCCACCTCCCCATCCCCTCCACGGCTTGGAGCTCCTCATTCTGCTCTCCCAGTTCCCCAGGGTCTCACGCTCACAAAGAGTAACGGGCTCACACAGTGTGCTAGGAGAGTGTCCTCCTACTTGGAGGGGCCACCACAGCCCTTCCTGCCAACCTGCCCGCTCGGGCCCGGGCTCGCTCTCCTCCCACTCGGGGCTGCTGGTGGGTGGGGATGGGGAAAGGCCCAGGCCAGGGCTGACGTGCCGTCCCTTGGCAGCGCCGACGGCATGTACGAGGTGTCCTTCTACTCCAACGCGGTGGTCTCCTACGACGGCAGCATCTTCTGGCTGCCCCCTGCCATCTACAAGAGCGCCTGCAAGATTGAGGTGAAGCACTTCCCGTTTGACCAGCAGAACTGCACCATGAAGTTCCGCTCATGGACCTACGACCGCACAGAGATCGACCTGGTGCTCAAGAGCGACGTGGCCAGCCTAGACGACTTCACGCCCAGCGGCGAGTGGGACATCGTGGCACTGCCGGGCCGGCGCAACGAGCACCCAGACGACTCCACCTACGTGGACATCACCTACGACTTCATCATACGGCGCAAGCCGCTCTTCTACACCATCAACCTCATCATCCCCTGCGTGCTCATCACCTCGCTGGCCATCCTGGTCTTCTACCTGCCGTCCGACTGCGGTGAGAAGATGACGCTGTGCATCTCCGTGCTGCTGGCGCTCACCGTCTTCCTGCTGCTCATCTCCAAGATCGTGCCGCCCACCTCCCTCGACGTGCCGCTCGTGGGCAAGTACCTCATGTTCACCATGGTGCTGGTCACCTTCTCCATCGTCACCAGCGTGTGCGTGCTCAACGTGCACCACCGCTCGCCCACCACGCACACCATGGCGCCCTGGGTCAAGGCCGTGTTCCTGGAGCGGCTGCCCGCGCTGCTCTTCATGCAGCAGCCGCGTCACGGCTGTGCGCGCCAGCGTCTGCGTCTGCGCCGACGGCAGCGCGAGCGCCAGGGTGCCGGGCCGCTGCTCTTCCGCGCACGCGCGGCCGGGGCTGGGGTCGGGACCGAGCCGGGGGCTCCGTGCGGCTGCGGCCTCCAGGAGGCGGTGGACGGCGTGCGCTTCATCGCGGACCACATGCGGAGCGAGGACGACGACCAGAGCGTGAGTGCTCGGGCGCGCGGCGGCCCTTCGCGCTGCTTCCGGAGGCGGGGCTCGGGAAGGCTCCGGATGGCGGGCCCTCCTCAAGTCCTGGCGAAGGCTCAGCTGCAGCCTCTGGGTGCGGAGCCCCGCCAGCTCTGCGCCAGCCTGTGCTGTCACCCCAGAGCCCTTCCACCTTGTCAAGCTGCAGCTCTTAGCACGATGAGACGAGTCCTTTGCGAACCCCCTTGGGGGGGGGCAAAATCCAGGAGAGGGAGCCTGCGTGCGTGGCAATGTGCGCGGCAGGGTGGAGAGGTTCGTTCGGTCAGCAGCGCGCGACCGATATCCCCTTTCTGCTTCTGGGGCCCAGGGAGCAGTCTGGTGAAATATTTATGGAGCTGGGGTGGGTGGAAGTGAAGGCTCCCTGAGACCTCCCTGACCCCCTCTCTGCACACCTAGTTTGGACTTTTTCTGCAGCTGCTTCCGGAAGGGGATTCCTCCTGGGAGAGGTTCGTAGGGTGACATCACGCACTTGGGCAGCAGCTGGCCTGCTCCGTGGTCAGCTCCACCTGGCTGGTTCCTGGCCAAGGCTCAGCTGTTGCCATGGCGACTGGCCAGGCTTCCTCTGGGACTCTGCCATCCCTGTTCGGGGGTGAGGAAGGGTGGGCATCGGCTTTGTGTAGGCTGGGAGGCGTCAAAGATCTGCTCCCCTGGATGTCAAGAACTTGGGCGGGAGCTAAAGCTTGGACCAAGAAGCATCTCCAGTTGGGACTCGGGGAGACAGGGCGGGAGCCTCAGAACAAGCTGAGGTCAGGCGGAGTGCAGGGGTGCAGCCTCCCCCGCCACCTGCTGTTTTGCACCCCAGTTTCCGTGGTTACCCAGCTGCCGGCGGGGATCTCTGACCTACTTGGGTGCCTCGCAGGCCCCTCCACCTCAGCGCGCCCCAGCCAAGTGCCTGATCCGCGTTCCCACTGGCGGCTTTCCCCAGCCTTTAGCAAATGGCATCCCTGGTCACCCAGTGGTTCAGGCCCAAACCGGAGTGGCCCTTGACTCCTTTCCCTCTTATCTTCCCCACCATCTGGGTCACTGGAAGTCCTGTCCTTCGAGCACCACCCAAAATAGCCCGCAACTTCATCCTTTCTCCACCACCTCTGTGCCAACCCCTGCTCCAGGTCCCTGAGCTCTTGCCTGGACCAGGGAGGACTCTCCTGCCAGCTCCCTCGCTCAGTGGTGGGGTCTGAGTAATCAGTGGGTGGAGAGATAGGGGGTAGGACCCTAACTGGCTCCAGATCTGGTGTGTCTGGGCGGCCCTGCTTAGCTGCCCTCCCTCTCTCTTACTGACACCAGGCTTCTGTCTCCTCCAGGTGAGGGAGGACTGGAAGTATGTTGCCATGGTGATCGACCGCCTCTTCCTCTGGGTCTTTGTCTTGGTGTGTGTCTTTGGCACCGTTGGCATGTTCCTACAGCCTCTCTTCCGGAACTACAGCCCCACCGCGTTCCTCCGCCTGGACCACTCGGCTCCCAGCTCCAAGTGAGACCTGGCTGGCCGTACCTCCTCGCCCCTCTGCCTGTCACACAGCAGCGTGGAGGACGGACAGGCAGGCTGCCAGGAAGAGCAGCGCTGCCCCAGATCTGACCTCCTGCTTCACCCGGGCCCCCACAGCTCCATCCACACAGCCAGCTGTGGCCTGGGGGCCCGGCCACGCCCCCTTCCTGCCAATGGGACTACTGCATTGGTGAGGTGGGGACGGGGGTCAGAGCCCGCCCCACCCGGGAGGGGGGTTGGCAGCACCAGGAAGGACAGGAGGGCCACGGCCTGCGAGTCACAGGAGAGTGGGCTGTGGGGGAACACGAGAGGGCCAGGAGCTGGAGCTCTGCGCCAGCCTGGCTGACACAGGGCTGGGCATGGAGAGGACCTGGAGTTCACCTGGCCTCCACTGCCTCGGTGAACTGCAGCTCACAGCCTAGAGGGTCCGGCTGGGGGCTAAGCCTGACCCCGCAGTCAACTCCCAGGAGGCTCAGTCCCACAGCCCTGTGCCTCGGAGGGGTCCAGGGCACAGCCCAGGTCCCCTCTGCCCGATGACAAGTTCTCTGCACCAACTTCTCTCTTGTCCCTCCCACCCACTCCTCCCCACTGGGAATTGAACTCAGGACCTTGCACTTGCGATTTGGGCACAGCACCACTGAGCTACATCCCTTTCTCTCTCCGACTCAGGGCTTGGTGGGCAGGGCTGGCCCTGTGAGTTCTAAGTCTTGGAGCCTGAGGCCCAAATATCAGATTGTGAGAAGTGCAAGTTCAAGGGCTTTAGGAGCTGGAAGAACGTTTGCAGCCATGGATTCCAGCAGGAGCCATGTTACAAATGGAGAATGCCCAGCTGAGCGTGGTTAGCACAGGTGCTCACAGGACAAGGAAGACACCGGCTGCAAGATGCCAACACGGCTACAGAGCTCTGAGGCCCTGCTGTGTGCCGCACCCTCCTTCACCTTGACCTGCCTGGCCGCCGGAAGGATGGGAAGTGAGGGCCTTTCTGTCCATGGCAGAGCCAGGCTGGGCAGTGGAGCCTAGCGGAGCAGGGGATGGTGGCCGGAACTTGGGCCACCTGTGCTGCCCATGCTCTGCCCCCAGCCCCAGACCTGAGCAGGTTGGAAGCGGCTCCAGGACAGGTCTGCTGCCACCAGGGACTCCTGAGGAAGCGGCACCTCAGCTGCCTCTCCTGGGCCCTGCGGGGGGCTCCCAGGGTCCCACTGGAGGGCTTGGCTGTAGGCCCAGGACACAGACCATTGGGCAGCCTGGCCCTTCCTTCCTCCACCAGGGGACTGGCTGTCATTCTGGTCCCAGCCTGTGCTCATACTGGGCTGAAGATGGCAGGAGCTGCGGGAGAGCCCACCCAGCGCAGGCCGTTTGTGCCCAAGCCTGGGGGCACTGCTGCTTCTCTGGGCACAGGGGAGGGGGAAGCAGGGCGTGGGACGCCGTCTGGGGCCAGGCTCTAGGCCCAGCTCTGCTGCCCTCGCTGGCCAGTCTCCGGGTCTGTAAATGGGGGGTCCTGTCCCTCGGGCGTGGTGAGGCTGGAGGGTCTGTGCTTGGGAAGGTCTGCCGCTGTCTCCTGCAGAGCAGGCACTTCTAGAATGAGTCTGGGAGGCCTGGGAGCTGCCTCCTGCGAACCAGCCAGGACCGGGCACATCTAGTGGGTCTGCCGGGCTGGGCTGTCCTCTGTGGCAGCCCCTCCCCTGGCCCTGCTCCCAGGGGAGATCTGGACTTGAGTGGATGGCACTGCCGGTGGCCGACAGCGGCACAGATGCGCCCCCGCCATGCGGTGGCCCTTCCCGGTGCAGTGTCTGGGCGGAGACGCCCTCCAGAGCAGAGCTGAGGGCTGCCGGGGTCTCCCAGAGGCCCACTGCTGACCCCCACCGGCTGCTGCCTGGCTGGGCTTGCTTTTAACACCACCCACCAGAGCTGTTGTCCAGGGTGGTCACCAGAGGGCGCTTGAGGGGGTGTTAGGAGCAACGTGTCGGCTTCTCTCGTGGATTTAACCCCCCGGAGGGGCTGAGGCTCAGAAGTGGTTTGCTGTCTGAGGTGTGGCCCTGGACATCCCTTCAGCGGGAAAGAATGGGCAGGGCGCAGCAGGGAAGGGCGAGGGCAGTGACTGGGCAGCCTCACTCCTTCCATCTGGGTGCAGTTCTGGCCCCACAGTAGGGAGGAGGGAGGGCAGCGCAGGCAGGCGGCCCCAGTGCACGGGCACTGGGAGCTTGGCAGAGCCGTGGTCCCACCTTGGGTCCTGTGTTCCCCCTTTGGCTCCTTCCCAAGGCGGGGTGGCTCTTCAGAGACTGCTGGGCTGGAGGGGGCAGAGGAGCTGCATGGAAACCCAGCGTGGGGCTTGGGAGCAGCAGTGAGGACCGGGCTGGGATTCATCAGCAGATGGTGAGAGCAGCAGGCGGGCCCGGCTTTCTGGCTCTGCTCCCGACAGCTGGCACTGCAGCATGGGGCATGCCACCCTGGCACAGCTGGGACCAAGCCCCTGACAGCCTGGAAGCAAACCAGCCCCAGGCAGCACCCTAGCCCTCCCCGTGCTCTGCTAGGAGAGCTCTGCAGAAGGGCAGGGCCACTTCCCCCGGGACTCTCCAAGTCCCAGGATTGGCTGCGTGCCTGGAGGGCCTGCTCTGTGACGGGGGTGAGTGGTCCTGAGCTCCAAACCCAAGGTGCCCCAAGTGCAGGTCCCGCTCCCCGGGGGAAGTGAGGGCACTGGGGCCTGGCATTCAGTCCGGGCAGAAGTGGGCTGCTGTCCACCGCCCCTCATGGCCGGCCAGACGCACAGCAGCTCCCCTTCAGTAGTTCCTGTGGCAGTCGGGGGTCTGTGGAGTCGCAGTGCGCGAAGGGACACAGCTCTAGGAGTCGGTGGGACACCGCCCTCTCCCCTGATGCCCGCCCGCCCCCTCACTTGGCCCTCGGCCTCCTGTCTGCACTCTGGGACTAGCACCACGGGACTCACTGGAACTTGAGATTCTCTTAAGAAAGCCGTTTTCAGAGCCATCTTGTCACTCTGTTCTGTTTGGGGGAATGTGGTGGCGGGGTTAGGGGTTCCCGCAGGCCAGTGTTGGCAAATGGGGTAAAAAGGGGGAATGCTGGAGAAACGGGGCCCACGAGGGGTCAGGGCATTATCCAAACCCAAAGAAACGGAGAGTGGTGATGGGCCTGCCGTGGGGTTACTGTGGCTTTCTTGCCTACAGACCCACTTATCAGGAGGAAGGGAAGTGGCCCAGCGGCACGGCCTGGGGGAGGGCCCAGTCTGCTCCAGGACACTGGTTGCATCCGGCCCCCAGTCCTGAAAATGATCTGAAACTGGGGCTGAGGACATGGCTGGGCGGCTCTAGGGTCCAGGCCCAGCACTGCAGTCAGCTGCAGGTGAACAGCCTGCTTCCTGCCCCACAACTGGGGGGGACACTGTCCACTTCCTCCAGCACCACCGAGTGCGCGCTCTGCCCCAGGTGAGCCCTCGTCCCAGGGTGCTGCCCACCTCCTGAAGGACTTGGGCACAGCTCCCTGCAGGTGAGCAGGAGCTGCCGAGGCCGGAGGCCCGAGAGGTCTGGCCTCGGCCAGGGGACGCTCGCCTGCAGCCTTTAATTAGAAACCGCTCAGTTGCAGCACTTTGCGCAGACTGCGATGCCCCGCAGTTCTGGCTTAGTGTCAGGCTCTGCTGGCCCCAGGTGTCCCCTCTGTGTCGGAATGGTCACGTCCACTGCGACGTAACCTCACTGCCAGCTACTTTGTGCTCACTAGTACAACAGCAATGTTAGAAGGTCAAGGATGGTCTTCCAGAAATTCTGGAGTAAGTGTGGAAGGAGTCAAAATTCAAGATAAAGGTTTCAGATGCTGCCTCGGAAGCGAGAAACTACGGTGCGCCTCTAACAGCAGCTGAGCTGCAGCTCACTCCAAACTCACATCCTTGCAGGCAAAGCCGCTGGGGCGGGGCGGGATGGCGAGCCTCAGGTCCTCTTCCGGTTCTGGGCCTGAGAGCCTGTGTATCAAGCCCCAGCGACAAGGTATGTAAGGGGGCTGGGCTGGGGACGTCTGAGAGACCACGGGTCCCACCCGGCTCTCCGAGCGCTCCTGCACTCGGACGTGGAAGGATGACGCCCTCCCCAAGTTCTCTGTGGGATGCAGCTGCTGATGTCACCCCAGGCCCCAAGATCATAGGTCCTCTGTCCCCACTCTCACCTCACCCAGGAAACGACGGCGCTTTCCAATAATTCAGATTTTTCCTGTCTTTATTTACGAGGAATGTATCTTTTTAGGATCAAGGGGCACAAAAAGCAGAATCATAAAACTGGACTGCAGCCATCATGGCACCAAGGCTATGCTTGGGCTCTTCCCACTCTGCTCTTGGGGTCACTGCCAAGACCTCAAGCCAACAGAGTCCCTTCAGCTTGAGTAAAGGAAATAGCTTCAAGCATTGACAAGTGATTATTCACAATGCACAATAGCCACAGTTCAGACAAATCAACTACAAAAATCATTTAAGAGAAGGGGGAGGGGCCTCGCTTATTAAAAATAAACACTGGACAGAACGTGAACACTGGCTAAAGCCCCGCCTCTGCCCTGCGTGACGGGGCTCGGGAGGCGGGTGGGCTGGATGCGGCTCGTTTGCAGCAGGTGTATGGGGTGCGGGACGCCTTGTTCTTCCCACAGCAGAACGGACTCCGCGAGGGTGCTAGCTGAGAGCTCAGGGCTGGTCTTTCGAGGGCCCCAGCGCTCCCCGGGAGAGCAGAGGTCACTGCGTCCGGTCCGAGGAGCCCCAAGGGCCAGACAGCCCTCGGCCTGAAGAACCAGGGGAGAGGCTTCCTCCCCAGGGGCAGCTGCCAGGACAGATTTACCGCACCGGCACCTCAGGTCCGAGCTGGAGACACGCAGGGCTGGGGAGCAGCCCCGCCCGTCCTCAGGACAGGCTCCAAGTGCTTTCGTGTCTGCAGATGGCCTGTGTACTTTAAACACTTGTGTTTTGGTCAAAGGTACAGAGTGTAAGGAGCCACGGTAAAAGTGCAAACAGGGATGTAGCTACTATTGAGGTGGGCCAGACAGCAGTTTGCAGGGTGAGGGGACACCAAAGCTTGTGTGGGGGTCCAGGTACAGCCAGGGTCGCCCAGAGCACGGTGGCAGCTGGGTCTCAGAGGAGGCAGGGGCTCCGCAGTCCTCCCAAGCCCCCAGGCCGACGGAGCCCCAGGGGCTGACCCTCCCCAGGGCCGGGCCAGGGTGGAGGTTGTGGACAAAGGTGTCCCCAGAGTCCGAGGACAGCCTGCCCTTCACCCCCAGCTGCCGCCTCTCATCCATCGGGGCTCCCTGACGCAGGAGGACCCCAGGCCTGTGCCCTGCCCACCAGCTTCCAAAGCTACAGCTAAATGAAAACACTCCAAGGGGGAAAAAGTACATCTGAATTTTAAATCTGTGCAACTAAAGCAACGAGTCAACATCTCTGGCATTCTTTTAAACTCTTAATTTACACATGGCTTAGTCAACTTCCCGTGGTATCACTGCCATGAGAAATATGCCGGATGGAACAGTGGTCTAACCCAACATGATTTCCTGCCTTTATTCTTGCTAAGTCCTGACCGTCTGGGCGGGGATGATGTGCCCTCCAGGCTCTGTCCTGGCTGGGGTCACCATGCTCCCCTGCACAGGCAGGGCTGCTCCCGGGGATGCCTCAGGGGGTGGGGCGGATGGAGCTTGGTGCCATCCTTTGGGGACCTCAGTGACTGCTTGGCAACTGGCCTTGCCACTCCGGCTGGTCCTCAGCCTCCCTGCTGCCCGGGGAGGAAGGGACACTTCCTGAGCAGAGCTCCCCATCACCGTGCAGGGTCTGCAGATGCAATGGCATTTCCACGGGCACTGGGCGTTAGTGGATTGCAGTTCGACTCCTGCCCTCGTGACACTGCACGGGATTCTCCCAGCTCACCTCTTTCCCCTCAGCATGGGGAAGGAGGAAGCTGATCACAGGAAGGACTCAGAAGGGAGGGGTAGGGGCCTGTGGATCTGGAGTCCCTGACACAATCTGCAGAGAACTGACCGGAACCTTCTCCAGTCCACAAGAGGTCAGTGTAGCAAACAGAGGAAAAGGGAATGGAAAACGCCAGAACACAGCTGATGGGCACGTGGGCTACGTGTGCCTGGTGTGTAAGCTTTTGGTGGAAAAATAAACCCTTTTTTTCCCTCTCAGTCTGCTTCACTTGGGAAAAGACAGAAGCCTGACTAGGCCCTGCCTAGAAATCCCACAGAAAGCAGGACAAATCGGAATCCACAATCCTCAGTACCAGCAATGGTGACTCCATAGAAGGAGTCAAAAGCAAACCAAACCCCAGTGTAGAGACCCCGAGCAATGCGGTGAGGCGTGCAAGGGCGGCGGCGACCTCCCCGTCAGCGGTGCAGCCTGGCCTCAGTCCCTGGGCACCGGGCAGAGGTAGAAGTTCTTCTCCTCCTGGGGCTTGCTTACCCAGTCCCCATAGCCCATGTCCTTCAGGCTGCTCTTGAAGTAGCTCTTGGCTGTCTCGTAGTCACGGGCGGCTCTCTTCGCCTCACCGTAGGAGAGCTGCAGTAAATCCCTGCGGGAGCGGAAGGAGCACAGCTTCTTGAACTGAAGGAAAATGTTCTTCTTGGACACTCGGGACAGTTCATTCCGTGGCCTGGGGACAGAAGCACTGTTACTCGGTGGGCTTAGCAGAGGCGGGCGGGCGGGCGGCAGGGCTCGCCGGCCTTTTGGGGCCCGCTCGATGCTCACCCGTCCACGGTGCCCCTGGTGCCGTCCAGGATCTCTAGGTCGTAGCCGTCAGCCAGACACCAGTTGACGCTCGTCTCCTTGGTTTTCCCGGACTGCCTCTTGGAGTCATAGACGCTGACCCGGCCCACCTAGGGTTCCGGGAAGCAAGGGGAGGCGGTCAGGACAGAGGGCCGGGGGCCACGCTCCTTCCCCACTCGGCACGCCTGTGGCTGCAGCCGGGCAAGGCTGCACAGCGAGTCGGGCCCCCGTCTGCACCAGCCCCGGGCCCCGGAGGAAGAGTGAGGCCCTGGCGCACCACAAAGCCCCGCTTGCCCAGAGTACCCTTTGGCTTGCCGATAGGACTGTGTGAAAGGAGAAAGTCAGCAGGGCAGAGAGCAGGGTTAGAGCACCTTGGGGTGGTTGACTGTGAAGGGGAACCGCAGTCCGTCCTCAAAGGCACTGCCGTCTCTCGTCACACGGCAGCAAATGGCGCGGGTCAGATGCCCTTGGCTGAAAAGGTAACCTGGGTAAAGAGAGAAACGTTCACGGCCATGTTCGCACCAGACCCTCACAGAGGCAGAAGCAAGCGCACGCAGTCCCGAGGGGTCGAGACAGGAGCGACCCCCTACAGGAAGCCCCTTGCGCCTGTGGCTCCCCAGCACACAGATGGGACCATAGCACATTCAAGCACAGCACACAAGGTTGCAGGTAAGGCCCCGTCTGGGGACAGCAAGGGAGCAAAGAGCCTGCAGGTGCCACTGCAGGTGCCGGTTTCTTCAGTGCACCTCGGGAACGCGCCTGGCTGGCCTTCCTACCCTCGTAGGCTGAGGCCTATCAACACCTGGTGGCCAAGCGGGCAGTCTGGGGGATCCGGGCTGGGAAGGGCGCGTGGGTTCCGTTTCCAAGCAGGCCCCTTACCCAGTGTGACGGATTTGAGGTACACAGGGTGTAGGAAGTGGCTCAGCAGCGCCCCCTGTAGGCCAAGCACGTTCCAGCGCAGGATCTTGTCGCTGCAGGACATGGTCCGGAGTCTCTCCCCGAGACGGATGCCATCCCACGTAGGCACAATGTCACTGGACTCTACTGGGATTGTGCCCTCCCCTGTGGGAGAGACCTGGGTCAGAGCCAGAGACCGAGCCACTCCTGGGCACCGACGGTGAGCCTGTGCCTGTGCCGGGCAGCAAGGACGATGAAGTGCAGTAAGGCCCCAGTCCTCCTTCAGGTGGGAACAGGAGACACCGGAGCAAGCAGTTGGCTGTCTGCAGGCATCCCAGGTGCTCACCTGGGGACGCTCCGGGGCGGACAGTCGAGGAGGAGGAACAGCAGGGGCAAGGGCCCAGGCCAAAAGGGCTGGGTGCTCAGGGAGCTGACGAGAATGGGCAGCTGGAGAGCCGTGTGAGAGGAACGTGGTGTGGGTGGGTGGGCCGAGACCACACCAGGGGCTGCCCTTCTGGAAAGTGCAGTGGGAAACTGCGACAGGACGTTTGTGTTCTCATTTTTGTTTTAAAAATAGTGCTGGCTTTATTGAGCTGCATCGACATACCACACAATTTCACCTACCCAAAACATAGCATTCAGTGATTTTTAGTATCTTCATAGTTGTGCATCCACTGCTACAATCAATTTCAGAACACTCTATCACCCCCAGAGCCCCTTCTACCTACTCTCTGCTTTCCCCCAGCCCCAGCCCCCAGCAACCGACTTCCTGTCTCTATGGGGCTGTCCCTTCCAGGCATTTCGCAGGCATGACATTTGGTGACTGGCCCTTCCTTCAGCACGGTGTCTCCAAGGTTCACCCAGCTGTACAAGAGCACCCCGTGTCTCTGAAGGCCAGAGTACCCCAGGTATGGGCGTACTGTGTCTGCTGCCTCCTTCACCAGGGATGGATGCTGCTGCACATCCTGCACTGGTCTTGCTAGGAGTGAGCTGCTGGGTCAGAAGCTTAGACGCCAGGGCAGTGGTACGGACCTTTCAGAGACCAAGTGCCACACCACAACCCAAAACTCACTTATTTATCACAAAGTGCCAACACCGCAATTAAACCTGAATACTGAAGTTTTAGGAAAAAAACAACTCATACATTGACATCTTTTATCTTCAAAGAAAAACAAAAACACACGTGCCACGGGTTTGCCACCGCCGCTTTGGGGTGTGCAGCAGGGAGACTGCAGGATCTGCACCGAGGCCACTCGGATGGCTGCTGAGGCGGGTGGGGAACTGGAGTGCAGTGAGGAGGGTGACAGGAGGCCAGGGAGACGGGCACAGGGCGCGGCACGGACGGGGCCCTCGGTGTCCCTGGGCCACCTCCCCAGGCTCTCCTGCCCACCCACGGTGCATACCCCAGGGGAGCCCCTCCGGTTCCCTGCGCTGACTCCAGGCGGACCCTCTCCCTGCAGGCCTCCCGCTCCTTGTTACTCCTTACTGGGAACCACCTCTCGCCTCCTGCGTCTCACTCACCGTTCTCCACCTTTGTGCGCAGCTTGCCTTGTTTGGGATTCTCGAAGACAGGGTAGTGGCGGGAATGTGTGCTTTCCACGGCCCGGTCGCTGCAGGACTTGTCGAAGAGGGCGCCGTCTCCACACGGAGCAGTGCTGCAAGGCAGGCCTGTCCAGTCAGCAACCTCCCTGTGCGCTCCCAGGCCGGCTTCCCTGCGCCCTCCTGGGGCTGAGGCGGGAGCTGCCTGAGCCCGAGCCTGAGCCTGCTCTGGGGAGGGTGGGAGGGGGCAGTGGCCCAGCCCTGCAGTGTGGCTACTGGGTAAGGTCAGGGCTAGTGGCAGGGACAGTGTGAGGACCACTCCTGGGGCCTGAGGGGCCACTCGGGCAGCAACAAAGGTGCTACATACCTGATATAGAGATGAAACGAAACAGACTTTTTTATTTGGAGTTTTTCTCCTCCCCTAGCAAGCTCAAATATACTATCCCTCGCCGTCTGGGAGTTGTATTTCATAAGCTCGCTGTAGAGAAACCTGCAGAGACAAAGCGTGGTCAGGAAGCCAGGTTCCACTCCGGGGAGAGCAGCCTGCACCTCTGCTCTGCTACGGAGCCCAGGGAAGGAAGAGCTGACTGTGCAGACTTCCAGGCATGGGCAGCGGGAGGTCGAGGGGCCTCCACAGTTCATGCAGCAACAGCAGCCTTCGGGGTCCACTTCGTGTCTGTGGGGGGGACCTCACTACGGCAGCCATGGGGACTTCAGAAAAAACTGGCTGAAGCTCTACAGGAAGGAGGCTGTTGCTTCTCCGAGTTTCTCCCTCATACGGTAAAGACAAGCTGAGCCACAGGAGAGGGTGGGCTGAGCGTCCAGGCTGTCAACAGGTCCTCAGACGGTGATGGAAGGCTGCCCGATCCCCAGGGCCATTTGAGTTTTGAAAAAGGGCACACAGCAGAGTTGGCAGGAAAAGGCTAAGAAACAGGCTGAATGGACGCAGCCGGGTGAGGGTCCCCTGCCCAGCAGGTGGGCCTTGTCCGCTGGGCCCCGGAGGGCAGGGAAGGATCCCTGGGCCCTCTGACCTTGCTCACCTGATGAAGCCCCTCCGAGAGATAATTTCTGCGTGGCAGTCATTGACGGTTTCTCCCTTCAGGCTGAGAGAGTCCCCTTTCACACAGCGATTCCCTGGGAAGGCATTTAAAGCAGAGTGGAATTATCAACGGCACACGCTGGCCTGGCTATGGGGTCTTACGGCCTGAGGCAGGGCCGGCCCCCGCTGAGCAGACCTCGCCAGAAGACTGCAGCTAAAGCAAAGCGGAGGTTATGCATCCCTTATCCAACGTGCATGGAACCAGCTGCTTCGGATTTTGGAATATTTTCGCAGAGCTTACCAGCTGAGCATCCCTAATTCAAAAATCTGAAATGCTCCAAAATCCAAAGCTGTTCAGTGCCATCGTGCTGGCACACAGGGATGGCTCACTGTGTGAAGTGAGCCTTTGCCCCTACCTCGGGCGTGCTGCACGGGCTCTAGGTGAGGCTGAGGACCTGCTGCCCGGCTCACAGGAACACACACCTGTCCCCAGGCTGACCACCACACCCATGTCCTCAGAGTCCTTCTTCATGATGATGGCAGCCAGGATCTTCCGGCCGAGCAAGGAGGGCTGGAAACTATTAGTGAGGGCATTGAAGCACCGGTGGCTCAGCATCGCAATCTGGTCGTGGAAGGTGCTGCCAGTGAGCGGGAGCTGTGGGGACAGGTGGCAGTGTCAGGGTGCGCAGCCATGCCACTGGACGGTGAGGCATCTTCCCCCTCTCACCTCTAGCATCCCCGTTACACGCTGCATCGTGGCTAATGCTAACGCCTAGGAGCAAGTCACATGACAGCAGTGACCAGCCAACTCACTCAGACGAGTCACAGCCCCCCACCCCGAAAAGAGAGCACCAAAGGTAGACGTCTTAACTGTCTTTGGCTGTGCATCTGGGGACCTGGAGAGGAGGAGCATAGTTCTTCTGAGACTGGCCCCTGTCACTGGGGTTACCTCTGTGAAACCCATGCGTTCTGCCTTCTCGTTCTCCCCAATCAAGACACGGAGGGCCGCGTCGGCTGCTTCCTGCTTGCCTTGCTTCTTGCTGTGCGCGCAGACGGCTGGAAACCAGCGGCCCCCAACTTTTGCTTGGTAAACGAACCTTTGGGATGAGAAACAGGATGAAGGTAGGCACCAGATCTTGACAGCTATGCGAGGGAAGGCTTAGTTTTCCTCAAGAAATGGCCAGTCTTGCAAACATATGGACCCATGGGTCCTGCAGGTCCGTTTCTAAGGCAGCATTTCCCAGATTCAGGGCATGAATTGCAACATGATTTTTGGTAGGTCCAAATGTCACTTGAACTATTACTTAATATTTTTCTCTAAATCAACTCTTTAAAAATGCACACACGTTTAAAAAGGAAATTTCATATCATTACCGTAAATGGAAAACCAGTACCACTTGAAGGTGGCTATAAAATGGAATATGATACAACCATGTTAAATTCTGACTAGGCGTTGTACTGTCCCTGTGAGAACTCTTAGGCTTGTCTTACAATAAAGGACCGAGAAGTGTTAATGAGAGACTGAAGAACTAGAAGAATGGGCTTTCTTCTTAAGCAGAAATGAGAAGGGATCAACGTTCTCCCCAGATGAGTCACTCTTACTTAGCACACTGATTTTTTTTTTTTTTTTGTATCGGGGATCGAACTCTGCTCCTTGTGCTTGCGAGGCAGAACCACTGAGCTAAATCCCCGCCCCTTCTGATCCGCTCTTGAAGCCTTTGCCGGGGGAGGCCATTATGTCAAGACGAGCTGCAGGCCAGGACCAAGCTTTCCTGGCGAGTTACTCTGACTCACAGCAGGCTCGCATGGACATGGGGGGACCCAGGGCCCCTCTGACAGTGACACGAACGGGGAGGGCGGGAAGTCCCCCATGGTTCCGTGGTGGCTTTCTGCAAACACAGAGGGAGAGCACAAAGGAGCCAGATAGCTTGGAAATCCACCACACCGGGTTTCAGGCGTCCTGACTTCCAACTAGATCTTAATTCACGGGTGGGAACCCCAGCTGTGACTTTTAACCCAGACTTCAAGATTATACAACTTCAGTCCTTTAGGGTTGTGCCATCCAAAATGGTAGCCACTAACAGCCACGTGAGACTATTGTGTTTAAATCATTTAAAATTAAATATAATCAATAATTCAGTCCCTCAATCATTAGCCACATTTCAAGTGCTCTGTAACCACATGGGGGGGGCGGTTAGACTTTTTAGCAGAACGAGTTACGAAAGTGACAAGGAGTAGGAATAACTGCTTCGAGAGGTTTGGCCAGGAGAGAAACAGGGAAATGAAGTGGTCCCTGGAAGGAGAGCCGTGCGCATTCACAGGCCGATGGCAAGGACCCCGCACAGAGGCAGCCAAAAACCACGTGGGGAGAGAGACACTGCCGCCGAGGCGAGGGCAGGACCAGGACCAGGGCCGGGACCAGGACCAGGGCCAGGGCCAGAGCCAGGAGACAGGAGGGCGGCGGGAAGCGCTCCCCTCACACTCGCCCAGACCATTTGGGAGGAGCCGGGGGTGGCCAGCTGATGGGCAGAGAGGGTTATTTCTCTCATGATGATTGCTGTTTTCTCAAGTGGGCGGGAAGGTTATCAGTTCAGAGGGACCGAGGTTTCGGTGGGAATCTGACCCAAAGGTCCAAAATGGTTCTGAGTAGGGAAGAAAGTCTGTAGAGATGTTCGGAAAGGGAGGAGCGTGAGCAGAGGCTAAGCACCCTCACGCGGCGCCTTCCAGCTCTGTCCTGCTTCTGTGGGGAAGCCCGCCTCGCTCGGAGTCAGCTCAGGCTGCAGACCTCTCTGCCGCAACCCAGCCCTCTGCAATACTTATCAGGTGAGAGGTCACACACTTCCACGTGACTCTGCGAATCCGTGCCAACCACGTCCAGGAGAGGAGCCAGCTCGGAGGCCCCAGGACGGCCCAGGTAGAGAGGACAGCGGCTTAGACTGGAGCACTGATGCTGAGGGGGGGCAGGTGGCATTGGGCTGGGAGTGCAGCTCAGTGGTAGACGCTGGCCTAAGCATGTGGAAGGCCCAGGTTCCATCCCCAGCCCTACACACACACACACACACACACACACACACACACACACACACACACAAGTCACTCACAGGTGTAACCAACAGAGCTTAAAGATGGTGTGGCTGAAGGAGGTGGAGGGCATGGACAGAGGGGGAAAGGTGACCCTCAAGGTTTTGTTTGAGCCCTTGAACAGTGGTCTCATTCGCTGAGACAGAGCCAACTGCAGGAGAAGAGTCTGTGAAGAAGGCAAACATCAGGAGTTCTGCTTTGGGCTTCTCACACTAGAGAAGTCTAAGCAGGAGTGACAAGTGCGTGCCCTCTAGGAGGCGTCAATGTGGAGGTCTGGGTGCGCGAACACTGAGCACTCTGCAGTGCTGGGATTAGGAAAGTCATGGACTCAGGCGAGGTCACCCAGGGAGAAAGGAGAAGCAGAGGGCCCCGCAACCACATGAGGGATGAAGTAATGCGTGCTGCCGGATGTGAAGGACAACAAACACAGCTGGACACTGGCATTCCCCTCCTACACGCTGCATAAGGAGCCCGGACTCCCCAGGAGAGTGGAGGCCAGCACCCTGTGTCCCAGCGACATCCCGCACGCTGCCCACACGGCAGACTCCTGCACCGTGTTATGGTTCCATGTCTGCCACACACCTAGGCAGAAATTTTTCCTATCTTCAGTGTAGCTCCTAAGAAGTTCTTACATTCTGGGGAGGCTGAGGCAGGAAGCTCACAAGTTTGTGCTCAGCCTGGGCAACTTAGTGAGACCCCGTCTCAGAATAAAACATAAGGGGTGGGGATGTAGCTCTGTGCAAAGGGCCTGGGTTCAATCCCTCACACACCCCTCCACCAAAGGAAGCTCTTCCATCCTGCATGAAGGACTGCCTTCGAGTCCTAGGAAGGATTTTACAGAAGCCTTCAGAGACGAGGAGGAAGAAATGGACTGAACACACCATTTGAAGGAATGAGTTTCAAGCTAGGGGTAGAAGAAAAAGCCACAAGAGCAGCAGCTGCAGTGAGACTGCGCCTCTCCTTCCCAGGTGGCTTCTCCAGGGCAAAAGCATTCAGCCCAAAGGGGCAACAGGGGGGCCTTTTGCGACCCCTGCCCCAAGGCTCCTAAGTGAGTTAATGCTGGCCAAAGGGCTAATGTTCTTACACGTTAAAAGCTCTACCTACCATACCAATGCAGAGCAGCAATCCAAAAAGACCCAACGGGCCAAAAAACAAACAAAAAAACTGGATAAAGACAAACAGGAAGTTCACAGAAAAGAAAATGCAAATAACATGTAAACACAAATGGCATCACTTACTACTGAAGACAAATTTAAAATAACAAGACCCTGTTTTAACGACCTTTCCAACTGAAGACTGGATACCACACTTTACAAATTCAGTGGGGAGTACAGCGGAAAGCGGGAAAGCGCCCTCCTGCCCCCGAGCAGACCCTGGCTCGCTGCTCCCTGCTGGGCAGGTTTCTCACCCTTCTCACCTGCGCGCAGAGGCGCTCTACTGGCACCCCAGCCTTTTCACCCTGCAGAACGCCAGACAGTGCCGTCTTGCTCTCTCGTATTGGCGTGCAGTGTCCCTTAGAGTGGACGTCTCAGTTTACTCCAGTCTGCAGACAGCGGAGCGTTAGGCCACTGTCTGTCTTTTGCTACCATGAACAGTGCCGCAGCAAACCTCCACACGTGGCTCGCTCAGTGTGTGAGTCCCGAGATGGCCCGCTGCGCTGAAGGCACCGTGCCCGGCCTCACTGTAAGGACCCTGTCAGTGTGAATGCAATTTACAAGGCAGGGCTGAACTCCTCTTCATTTATTAATACTCACCGTGTTTAATTTCCGTGACTGTGCGTTTCCTGCACATGTTCTTGGGGACTGTCTACTGAGAAGTCCTTCGAACACTTGCCTATTAAGAAATTAGCCTGGGGCTGCTGGGTACCGTTTCCCTCAGGTGCTCCTTCTACACAAACTCATTTCTCTTAGTCACATTTACGAGGCTTCTCCCTTTAGGACCGATAGGAAAGGCTTTGGCACTCAGCGATTCCAGAAACACTGCTACTTCTACCTTGTGATTGTTTATTCCCCTTTCAGCCTTGGCTCTGTGGGAGTCTGGGGGCCAGGAGGCAGACCCTCACGCTGTCAGGGTGGACAGGCAGCAGTCCTGCCGCCCTTGGTCAGTGTCCAGAGGCCCCGTTCCTCTCTGCTCTCAGGGGCTCCAATCTGACCCACAGTGCCTTTCTAGCTACTGGCACGTGGCTACATTATTTTAAAATGTTAGGATCAATACCCCTTCTTACCCCTTCTTTTTCTGAATTTTCCTATTCTTTTTTTTTTGTACTAGGGATAGATCTCTGGTCCTTGTGCTTGCAAGGCAGGTGGCAGAACCACTGAGCTAAATCCCTGGCCCAATTTTCCTAATTATTCTTATTTATTTTTTATAATTATTTCAGAATCAAATTTTCTAGTTCCAAAATAAATTCTCTTGGTGTTTTTATTGGGACCTGGGGGCAGGTGCTACCACTAAACTGGATTTTCCTGGACTAGGAAGATTGCAGGCCCTAGCACGTCTAAGGCCTTGGTTTCAATCTCCGGCAGAGTAAGGGGGAAAAAAAAGTGTTGCCTGTCTAATAACAGACTGTCTTATTCTATTTAATCAAATCCTCTTTTATATTCTTCATTAGCATTTTACTTAACGTCATGGCTATATATTCCATTAGGATTGTGCCTAGGCTTTTTTATCTTTTTAACTGCTACTTGCAATGGGTAATTTCTTCCACTACATTTCCTAATTGCTTACTGCTATATCCTGATTCTTACACATTATTATTATTACTACTATTTTGTAATCCTAGGGATTGAACTCAGCACCTTCACACTGAACTACATCCTCAGCCGGTTTCACTTTGGAGATAGTCTCACTAGTTGTCCAGGTTGGCCTTGAACTTGCTAGCTTGCCTCAGTCTTCCCTAGCTGGAATTACAGGCATGTGCACAACACCTGGCTCCATGAACACTCTTGTACAAGTCTTTCTGTGGCTATTTCTTTCATTTTGCGGAGGTCAATACCAGGAGTAAACTGCTGGATTTAGC